TGCCATCTTTAAGACCCAAAACCCGCTGGTTCCTGAGTTGCACGCCCGCAAAAGGGCGAAAGGGTTTATTGGGAGTCTACTTCAAAGTCACCTTGGCATTAATGATGCCAAAGAAACGTCATACGATCGCGGTCACACGACAGGCTGTTTTCTGGTTATGGTCAAAACTGCATGGCCGCTGATACATTCGCAAAAGCGATGATGCGGCACGTGTGATAAAATGTGCGGAAGATGATTGGCTGTTGGCAAGATTTCGCTACTAAATGCGTGTGGGGAACGTAAGCGTGAGCACTTTCGGGTTGCACGGCACTCGTCGTGAACGGGGCATTTTTCTTTATTTTTAGGCCATAGGTCAATGATATAAAAAAGAACACCACTGTCTGCAGAAAAGTACGGCACCCAAAAACGGGCATCTTTCCTAATGTTACAATAAAAGAAGACGCGACGGCAAATCTGTCTTTTTTCTCACGCCAGTGTTTTGTTTCTTCTTCTTTTGGCGTATTTCTTACAGAAAGCTCGGCTGGCGCCTTGTGTACCGGAGCACAGAATATATATATATATATATATATATATATATATATATATATATATATATATAGGCTCACATGATACGGCTTGGCAAAATTGTCTTGAGTGCACGCTTGACCCATCTTTTCATGGTAAATTTATTATCAAAGCAACAGGGAATTGCGGTACAAAAACCATATCGTTCATCATTATACCAGGCCACAGTACAGCACTGAGGTAGTGCCACAATTACGCTGTTGACCCGCGCGATTACACAATGTACCACATTGGTTGACTACTCTATGTCAAGCCTATGAGATGATTATGATTGAGCAACTTATGATGATGAGCAACTTATGATTCATGAATGGCTGGTAACAACCTATTTGACAATGCAGAAGGACTATCAACAGCAAGAAAGTGATTGCACCACAGTGGTTATATACGAGTTAACTAGTAATTGCATAAATACTCCTAAGCACACAAAATATTGGTAGCCCAACCTTACCATCTTCACCATGGCAATAGGAAAGCTTTTGCAATCAATCCACAGCAACGTCACAAATTTATTAATTTTCGCATGACACCGCATTTCCAGTTACAAACGATAAATAAAGTAACTACCGTAAGCATCACACGATATCAATGTCAGGAGTACAGCACTGCAGGGAAGGATAGATCGACAATACAGCATTGGCAAAATCATCAACAGCGTAGCAGCAGTAGCAGCAGCCAGGATATCGTGTTTTGATATTAATAATCTGCCCTAATAGCTGGCGATCGCTAGGTTACGTATGTTCAACAGTTCAACAAAGCCTTTCTAACGGCCAGCACCACGACAAAAAAATCCACAAACAAACCACCCACCAAACCGCCACCCGACCCAGCACCCGCAGCGAGAATGGCCGGTTGGCGTCAGCTTTCGTGTGTTTCGAGGCATTCTTTAGGTCTGGCTGCCAGATAATGCCAGGTATTGCTTTTGCCACAAAGCCATTCCATGACGCCATCAAACAAGGACGTAATGGAACGAATTTTTACAAACTTTGAAATGTTGATACTTAGCGTCGTTCTTGAACCTTAAAGGCCTACCAATAGTTACAAGTAAGCTATTCCCATTATATCTCATGCCTCCCTCAAGATCCCCAAATGTGGAACATTCCATTAAAAAATATTCAATACTTTTTTGCTGACGTAGCGAGATGCATCCGTCTTATGCATTTTAATGTACTGGAGAACAAACAAAACATGGAGTGACGCGAAGCCGTTGGCCCACATGAACGCAGGTCCGACCATTTAACGTCCTCTTCTGATGACCAACGAAAAGGCATGGCTCCAGCAATGGGATCCAGTCGGAAGTCGGCCGGTAGAATGAAAGCATAACGCTTGCCCACTCCGTAGACGCACCGCGCTGAAACATCAATGGGCCCGGGTCATAGCAACCTTTTGCCCTGACATAATGGGCAACGGTTGTAAAATACACACCAAAATACCCTTGACGAGGGACGTAAATGTGTGGCAACTACCCAAAAAGTGCGGTTCAACCACCATCTCCGAGCCTCACGTTCTCCGAGTCAGACGGACGACCAAAGCGGGGCGAAATGGCTCATTTTTCCTGCATGACAACAATTTCACATAGTAAGGCAAATGTTCTACCCAAAACATTTACGCTACCCGTCCCTTTTGTTGCATCTAGTATTGAGCTGCACTTGGCTCTGAGTCATAATCCAAATTAACTCAGGGTTCGTTGGAGATGCGGTGTGTAGCCGAAGCCCGCTTTTGTTGCTGATACTCCTGTAACGTTTGTATTTTGACTTAAGACTGTTCACCCCCTGCGTGAGTTTGTTACGCCTGCGCTGTCTCAGTGCAGCTCGCGGGTAGTCGCCCGCGCCTCAGTTGGTTCATGCCACCACGGGATACCCACATTTTTTGCTTCGCTTTAATTTCACACTGGGCCCGTGATTGGCCGTGGAGAACACCGCGCCAGTCTTTATGCACATATCCGCCAGGCCTCGTTCAGGTCACTTGCTAAATTTTTGAGCTTTTAACGTCTTGGCTGGAGGAAATATGACCATAGCAGCGGGTGTATTTCACAATAGGCGCATAATGGCTAGCCTCTTTTTGACTACGGTACCGCTGAGCATTGCTGTGGCTTCTCCACGCAGTCAAGCAATATTGCAACTGGGAAAAGACATAAACTTCGCTAAACCTCTTTCTAACACATCCGTCAGCCTCTGTGAAAATTTCGAAATGTCACAAATGCATGCACGGCAGCCCTTGACTACTGCTGACATATGTAACTCCAAATTCAGGTATTTTCAACGACAAATCAATGATTTTGGCCGAATGGGAGGCTAGAAGAACAACAGATCCAGGTTCCATGGAGACATACCAACTGAGGGTCGCTGACATGAATGTACTAGAATGACAGGTTTTTCTTGGATTTAAGCGTTTTTGCGCGAACCCGGAGTCAGCTCTTTCCAAATTCCCCTCGATGCGATCTTTACGGCACATTAAAATATTCACGCGACACGCATGGATAAACAGTGTACCGTCCCCATACATCACGAGCTGGCAGTCAGTGATGCGAGATAAAAAATTATTAGTTTATTAATGCCAGTAAAATTGGTCCAAATAACGAATGGTGACACATGGCTTGGCTTGACCATGACTTGGCGGCAAAACGTCATTTCCATTGCGCACGCGGTGCCTGTCTCGTCGCCACGTGCCATAACCATAGCTACAGCACCTAGCCAGTCTCAGTCCAGTCAGAAGCGATGGGAGTGACCGCCATATCACCCGAGTTTCCCCACGAACTGGCTATATTCAACGCTGTCGAAGGCTTTAGCCTCCCCTGGCTCCCCTGATGACGTCACGTTGACGCACCGCTGAGGTAAACAGGCGTGAATGGTGACACGCGAGCTGTTGAAATTTGCGGTTACTCATCTGTATCATTCAAGGTATTTGAACCAATTAGGTTGAGTTTTAACAGCTAATAGCATGCCCCACAATTCACCGGATAGTTGGACTAATCCCGCCGCGGCGCCAAACTGGTTTGGAGCGATTGCGGCATGCGCACTGAGGGTGTAAATGAAGCCCAGTGGCGAGGTATCCACGCATAGTTGTTATACTAAATAGTCAGAGTACGAAACAGACTGACGGGATCAATCTGACGAATTTTACAATCTGATCCAAATCACCGCATAGGGTATGGATCGGGTTGACAAGTACATTCATTATACCAAGTTTGATCTGATTCGGGTTTGGGCTTCCATTGACCGATCTTCTGAATGCATGATGATAGACGCCTAAAGAATTGTTGGAGCAACTCAGTTGTTACTTCGAAATTTTACGGCGGACAACTAAGCATTGTTTTCCATCTATCCCAGTACTCATCTGCAAACCAATAAGGCGGTGTTTGTTGACTTGATGATTGTTGAAAATTGTTGACTTGCAACCGAACGGCCAAGTCAACTCGGTCAACAGTGGCAGGTGGCATTTCACACACAACAGAATGGTTAATGAGCAGCTGACGTACGTTGGCCACCTGATACCAACGTAACTTGATTGCTGCAAACCCATAGATGTCTTGAAAGCGATGCCAGGCTCAACATGATGCAGCTTATAAGTTGTGGTAGCACTAGACACAATTTAGATCACACAAGCGCTTTTGAAACGTCCTGCATCCGGAAATCACGCAAATAACCTTGTTGTATCCCAACTACCACAAGTAGCAGTGACCTTTTATAGATACGGTAGTCTGAGAGTACCTACCATATGATTAAGTCTTTGCACTGAGTTGACTTATTTGTCTGGGCGAGTTAACGCCTGACCATGCATCGATTATGGTGATTGATTGGTAGTCATGCGAAAGCAAAAAATTACAATCCCCAATCCATGCGTCCATTCATCCATTTAAATTCGATTTGATCGCAATATTATATCTCCTGCTATTTTCAGTCAGCCCTCATGTGAAACAGTCACCAAAAAATCTCAACGTGACAACAAAAAAGACACAATAGCTCCACCTTCCAGTGTATTTGCCAATAGGTGTTTTATACCAATGCTACATTCCGTCAGTTCTATGCTGTCCATCATCTACAGCCTGCACATAACAGGTTCGCTGTTCTATATTTATGAGCTTGTTGGCCATCCTACCACTAAGTCGGCAGTCGGGTGGGTGGGGTGCCACCTCAATGACCCCTGTTGAACCACACCCGGCGTTTCGTCGAGCTGCTGAAAGCGTCGCGCGAGCGCTCTGTTTATTAAACACAACGTGTCTGGACCAGACGCCAGCCCATGGCGCGTCGGGGTGGCCAAGTTTGCCTCCGGCGCCCGCATCCTGTCAGCGCCCGCTGGTTTACCCGCCTCGCCGATCTGTCGCCGGCTGCCGCGCGTCGGTGGCGTCGACCGGAAGCCTGTCCGGTGCCGTCCGCGTCGGCACCGACGAAGCCCTCCAACGTCGGGCGTCCCGGGCCGCCAGTCGGTACCGCGCCGCCGTCGTCGTCCGCGCCCCAGGCAGCGCTCGACTCGTCCCAGGAAGCCAGCTGTCCTCGGCTCGTCCCAGCCAGCCAGCGGTCCTCGCGTCGTCCCAGCAACCCAGCAGTCCTCAGCTCACCCAGCGACCCAGCGACCGTCGCAAGCCGCTCGCAGCCATGAAGCGTGGAGGGCCGGGCGGCTCAGACCAGGAAGAGGAGGAGCAGCCGCCGCCCAAGCGCAGCACGCGCTTCGTACGCATTCTGACGGTGGTGGGCTACATGATCTGCGTCTCGTCGGCGGCCGTCATGCTGTCGCTCTACTACATCTTCCTGTGGGATCCGTACGGTGGTGACGGGTCGCCCAGCGCGCTGCCGCTCGTGCAGGGGCGGCACAGCCTCGATCTGGCCCCGGCCGCGGACGGTGCTGGCCACCAGATGCAGCACGCCAGCCTCGGTGAGTCATGAGCGCTGGCTCACTGCTTAGCAGAACGGTGCTGGCAACTGATGGCGTTGCTGATTGGTGGGATTGCTGGACTTGCACTCGGAGGTTATATTAATGCATAGCAGCTTATAGTAGGCTTATATATTTTCCGTTGCTGGCGCCCGGCTTCCGGGAACTAACACTGGTCTAAACTTCTCTGAACCACTCACTGTAATGAACTTCTAGGAACTTCTGTTCGCAAATTTATCGCTCATCAATTCGTTTCTGTTGCAGCCTAGGTCACAGCGCCCTTGGGTAGCCGAACATACGGCACGCTAATGGAAGCCCTTGGAAACCGACGGAAAGACGGTACCAGGCCGCTCAGACACCCGCCCTCCGCCGGCGTTTCAAAACGGGGCTTGCGCGGCCCCGCGCGCTGTCAGCGGCTCTCGTACCAGGACAGACGGAATCGCTCCTGTGACATCTGCGGCTCGTGATGTAGCAGCGCGCTTTGCCGTCATCGATATGCACGTCGCGTGTCGATGCAAGACGTTGCAGCCGTGCTCCATGCACGCGTTTGTGGTTGTTGCTTGCGTTCGACATGCATTCCCTTTGCGTTAGCTGCAAAGTGTTCAAAGACAGCCCCAGAGTTCATGGCTACTTTGTCACTTAAAGAGTTCCATGACAATTGCGTACTCCTGTATACAGTATATCTGCCTGGCTCGAGTTGGCTTTAATCAGTCCGTTGTTCACAGGATGCAGATGTGTGTCAATGTAATTAATTAATGCTCACGACCAGTCTCATATCGAGTTGGTTGACTACCGCGTAAAGAACAATGCGTACTAATGACGTTTATGGTTGACCATAAGTTAGCTTAATTGCGCTTTTTAATATTCGTACGATTCCCAACATGAGCGTGGTCCCATGCTGATTGTTGTATCAGAAAATTACTGTTGATTTCCCGAAACGAAGAAATGAATCTATGCGAGGCGCGTGTATTATGAAGTGTATTCTGAACTCAAAGTTTATTTTCAAGTCTCAGAAATAAATAGTGCCGATATAGTTATTACAATTTACTTGTTTTTTTATATTTTTATGTGCAATGTTCGTTTAACAGCGCCATATATAGCAATTGCAATGAGGACTAGTAGGAAGCAAAATCATGATGATAATAATAATATATTGGGAATGAGAGGTGCAATGATGTGAAATGTACATGAGATACAAGATATGCGATTGTCCTCAAAGATCCTTCCTTTCCGATGCATAAGAAGCCATTCGTTGTGAAATACCTATCATTGATCCTGTATTGAAGACTTAGCAGTCTACTGGATGTTTTGCCACTATAAACGGCGCGAGGAAATTGCGCGTGACAGATGTAGGGATGGGGGAATAGGTGTTGGGGTGCTTGACGGGACAGGTAGAGTGATATCAAGGCAACTCATCAGCAGTGTAAATTTTTCTTCGCATTTCCCGACAATTGTTGTTGGCTGTTAAAATTATGACCTGCCCAGAGAAGTATTAAAAGGCACAGATCCCTACAAAGAAACAAAGGGTTCTACCAATGACTCTGGACTCATTGATCCATAACATGGTAGCAGTGGCGCAAGCGGTGATGTATTTGTGGAGTGGCATAAGTACACCATGTCAGCTTATCTGCCCCGACTCGCTATATTCGCTGAGTAAAGACAAAGCGACCCTTTAAACGAGCGTTGATAGGCCAAATCAGATGCGAACACTTCAGTAAAAATGCTGAATGAGACACAAACGGTTTGATTCAGACTGGTCGGGGTTGTGAATCGGCATGTCTGGCTCGTCTATGATTTCGTTAGCGATATGAGATCTGCCTATTAATTATAATGGTATTTCACCTAACCACGCATGGGGGTTAGGAGCAAACAATATCCGAGTTTTTGGAATAACTTTCGGGACGTTTTGCACAGCGTGACCTGTGTGTCTCATGTCGCGTCGTGATTAAGACGTACCGAATAAAAATGCAATTGCTTCCCGATTGAGTGAATACATCAGCCACCTCGTAATAAACATGGGGGCGCTATTTTAGGATCCCTATTTCGCTTGGTGAGCTGTTGATTCGTGTCGTTAAATTGGTGGACGCTGAAATCAGTAGGTGAAAATAGCTCTTCAGTAGTGCAGGAAATTTGTATTGGGTAAATTCAACACTATAAAACTAATGAGGTAGAACGCTCGGGTCTCCGTAAATGTAGAGGCTGTGGCTTTGGGAAAGCCGCAGATTTGGACAGCATATTCGTCTTTTGATTGGTCAGAGGATTTCATGTCGTCACAGAATTAAACCCCGGTTGTCATGGCAGTAAACCCCAGATTTCAGCACTGTGGTAATGTGTTCAAGGACTGGCTCTGGTCTGTGTTGCGCGATATTCTAGGATCCTAAAGTGGTTGTAAGCGGGTATAAGAGAAGGTTGTAAGCGGGTATACACCCGTAACTCAAGATGTTGTATTGCCAAGCACCAATTACGCGTAAAAGCTGCTTTTCAGAACGGATGGTTTTCATGTGATAGGCTCATCATTTTTTGACGGTCAATCTGACGCAGCAAGACGTGATGTCAACAAGATCCACATATGGAACAGGAAGCATGGCATGAAGAGTGGTCAAGAAACAGAAGCGAACAGGCAAGTGAGTCAAATGTTATGCTTCCAATATCGGTTAACCTGTGCTGATATATGCTGTAGTGAAGCACTGAGGCAAATGCAAGTTATTATTTGCAATATCAACGCCGAGCGTGGGGATCCAGTATGGGAATGTAGGTGTGTAAATACATGAAATGGAAGCATACCAATGCAATTTAAGTTCATACGCTTGTTCACAAAGCTGTTATGTATGCAAAACGCAACAAACTGTGCTTATGCATTTACCATGCAATGTTCTTTTTTTGGTTAAATTGAGTTCAAGACATTGGTATCTACAGTGTCGCATTTTTCGAATCGAAATCCGTCATTTGTTCCCACGGCTCCCACCGGAGTTCCGTGTATCCACTGCTTGCCTCTGTGAAGTTCTCCTCCACCCTGCTCCACGCATCCTAAATAAAAAAACAGCTACCGAATGCCTTGCGTCGATGGTTTCGTGCTCACAGCGCTTGCTAAGCGTGCTTGTGTCCAGTTCGACAAACTCTCCATTATCTTTCCAGATAGCGCTTCCGATGGTTTCACGTGCCGTGCAGTCCTTCGACACGGCCTTACCTCAGTCAGGTTTACACACTCTGATCTTTTGTCAGCAGACCTCGCTCCGTCAGCGGCCAAAACCCCAACAAAGACGCACGGTCCAGGTTAGTTTGCTTGTGGCCAGTTGCCAGTGAGCTTTCTTTCAACAACCGGGTAAAACGCATCCACATTGAGGCTTGTATCTAGTACCACGCCAGTAGCCAGCAGTCCTTCCCCTGACAGCCGGACAAAACAGCGCGCTCGTTCCAGGGCTCGTACCCGGCGCTACTGTATTTCACACCAGTCACTGCTCCATTACACAGTCGTGTCTGCGGACACTGAGCGCGTAAGAATGTTCGCGCTAAACGCCTATTCCTGGTTTCAAATCAGAATTGCGTGACGCCGGCTACACAAGTTGAGGCGGTATTGATGTCGTTTTGGCAATGTGTTTGTGTTTTTGTAGTGTTCCCATCATAAGTGCGTTCTATGTGTATCAAAGTAATAAAAGGATTCTGTCTTACTCCAGTTGGCCATGGTTCATTTGGCTTCTCTGTACTGATATATTTTCGAAAGTAATTCACGATTTTCATTCTTGAAAACTGAAAACTTATTTATTGCGCCATTTAGACTTCTCCGGTGATGGTATCAGATCTCGAAACGTATAAATGTACAGATTGACAAGTATATGAGTGATTTTGTACGAATTATCATTGATCTAAACAATAGCGCTAAGTGGAAAGCCCGGCAACTCGAACAATACTTAAAAAGGTCGTCAATGCTTAATCAGCAGTAATTTTTTATCAAGCATGCATATATATATATATATATATATATATATATATATGTGTGTGTGTGTATATATATAAATAATTTACCTACGCACCGTGTCAAAATACATGCTTCACCGCCCTTAGGGTTTGTTTCCACCCGTCTGCTTCCCCAGCCCAAGCCACGCAGCGCTTCCCCCCACAATGCTCGCAGCTGAGAATCTACCGCAGAAGTACACGACATAGTAAAAACAAAGCTCAAGAACAGAGACAGCGAATGATAATGCGTACGTTGTCCCGAAACGGCTATGGGTTTTTCTTTTGGGTGTCAGCAATTATCATGCATTTCGTTATACTTGAAGTATTTGTTACGCCTCGTGTTGATTTTGAAGTTCTTACAGAATTTATCAGATTGCGTCAGAGAGCTAGAATTGCTTTTGAACTAGGGTGGGAGTGAAAAATTCCATCGCAAAAAGATCGTCGGGAAGCGAAAAATTTGATTGACAGAAGATGAAGCTTATGAGCTGGTGGCTGATGCTTCAGCAAACATACATCTATTTCAAGTTGGCATGGACGTAATATCGTAAACCTGACAAAACTGTTTTGTTTCTTAACATTTTAGGCCATTAAAGTGAAGCGGAATACATTAAAGCATAGCAACTTCGTGACAGTGTAATGAGCATAAAAAATTCAGTAACACCAATAATTTGATGCTGCACTTCACACTTCCCTTCCACAGAATTTTTAACACAAAACAAAGCAAAGGGATTCAGTAACAAAATCACAACAGAGAATTCAACAAGGATAAAGCGCTCAAAAAAACCTTGGGCTCCTACACATCAGGTCATCACCAAGTCAAGCATAATAGACATACCTCTGGCTTCTGTTAAGATGGGGTCAGCGAAAACAAACATTTTGCCACCGTTTCTTACAAGATGCCGATGCTTATTTCCATGAAAGTAGCCTCACTATTCCTAACCTAAAGAGGCCTTACTTCATCTCATCGTGTCTAACCTGTTGGTATCACAGCAGCAGTTGTAAGTTACTGATTCCTGCACCATTACTATTGTCACTTGCCATGCACTTAACCAACTTAACCTAACTTAGAGTAGCCCATATGTTGGACGTCGTCTCAACTCACCTATCTGTTGACAGCAGCGCTAATGATAAAAACATGATAAAGCTCATTTTTTTTGCCTGGTCTCAACTTGCCTTTGTATCCCTTGTGTATGCTTGTTGACATCAGACAAAGTTGACAACACACAAATGAAAACACTTTACATCACTTTGGACGACTTCTTCTGATTGCCATGTTTAACCTCTTTCAAGGGCAATGATAGATATGGTCCACAAAACATTCGTTCTTCTCCAAAAGTAACATAACTTGATGACCATGCCAGTTTTGCTGCTTGCTTTTTCATCTGCAGCGAAGGCATCGATTTAGACTTGTTAATTTATATTTAACGGCATAGTTCGAGATGATGGCTTCACATTTTCATTGGAATGGTATATTTGCTTAATGCTGATACTTACCTCATACCATAATTGCTATGCAGCTTAGAGCATTCCAGTATTAAAGATATAGTGCATATATATATATATATATATATATATATATATATATATATATATATAGCACAGTCATTTGCCAGTCAGCAAACCGCGACAACTATAGAAAACATCTGGTTAAAGCAACCATGAAGGACCACTTGAGTAATTTTGGGACAAATAATCAAGAATATGGAACACAATAAACCCATCGCATGCCTTGTGGCATCATAATTTGTCTTAGACAAAATTCGCTGGATTAAAACAGCAAATCGCTAACTATGGTTACAAATCATGTGTTGAAAGCAGATGAAGTAAGCAATTACTTGGTTCACAGGAGACTTACTGGCTTTTTCAGAGCACACTTTTTCCTGGTCCCCCAAAACAAAAAGTCAGTACCACAGTTTGTGCAGCTTGCTGACAGACAGTCATCCCACTCACCCCCCAAATATAAATAGCAATCATGTCCACCAACCTAAGAGATTAAAATTCGAGGGAAGTAAGAGGTGTGCATGATAAACATTTACAGAGGGCAGTCAAACACTTCTGTATTAGCTGCGTCAGGTCTGTCAGGTCCCAAAGCTCAATAATGATAGCCTTGCCAGGTAGCCTGGTGAAATAGACACTGGAAAGGCTTAGATCTATCATTATCGAGCAACGCCATGAACCAAAAATGGCTAACCAAGGGTTTAACAG